TATACCTCAGTTTACTCACCCTTCAGCTATCGATGGACGTGAGGATGGCTTTTATGATTTTTTTGGCTATCATAGATAACACTGCAGTGAATATGGTGTTCGTGTCTTCTGCTGGACACAGCGCTCATTTCTGTGGGAGATACGACTTTTTAGAAGGTCTCCGCCCGGGAGGTGGAGGGGGTTTGGAGGAGAGTAGAAGTGCCAGTTCCTCAGGCAGCAACCCCTGTAAACACGCCTTTTACCAGCTGGCTCTTTAAACAGCAAGCACACTCAGAACATTTTCACCCTCCCACACATCAAAATATAGATTGAAAGACAGAAAGCAGATTCCTTTTGGCTTTTGTCGTTAGTCATTGTTAGTTATTATTTTCCTAATTGAGGTAAAATTGGTATATAACACTATGTAATTTTCAGGTATACAACATTATAATTTGATATTTGTTACACTACAAAGTAATTGCCACCGTAAGACTGGAGTTGTTATTGTTTATAGCCGGCTACAGCCAGAGCTGATAGTAACTGGAAGGACAACATGACAGGTTTTGCCCAATTGTAGTTGGGTGTGTAACAATAAACAGAAACATTGTTGTCATCATCAGACATTGAGGTAGCCCCTCCCTCCACAATTGCTGGGGGGGGGGGCTCTGAAGCGATGATGATTTATTTCTGTTTTCTTTCAAATTCTTCCTGAAGCGGTTTCCCAGAACCCTCGGTTCTTTACAGCATCTCTGAGCCATCCCTGCTCCAGGGGTGAAATGGCACAAACACAGAGTCTGCATGGTCCAAACTTATTACCTGAATTGTGAATTTATTTATATGTCTTAAAACTTTAGAATTAGCGCATTTAGCTGTATATGTAAAATGATTGTCATTATAGAAAATAATACAATCAGGTGAAATTAGGAATGTTTATGTAGAAAAATCTAAGACCTTTAGTGACAATGAATGTTTAGTCTTAATTTGGGACTTAAGACACAGTAATGGATAATGAAGAGGCTGTGGTCTGATTCTACCTTACCAAATCATGGTTTTAACCCACTGCTTGACATTGTAATTTTACTCTCAATCTGTGTTTTTACCCTGCTCCAAATGGGCTGTGCATTTGCATTGATTCATATAATAAACATTTATTGGATACCTGCGATATGCCAGATACTTTGCCAGTTGGTAGTAGAAATACAAAAATGTAGTCACTGATGAGAGGAATTTATAGGCTAGCAGCAGAGACAGTCAAGTAAGTGAGCCAGTGGTTGCCGTGCCCCATTTGGGGCTGGAGCTAAAATTAGGGCCAGGGTGCTCTGGTAGCAAAAGAGGGGCATTTAAATCAGAGCAGGTAACCCCTGAGCTGCCTCGCCAAGGATGAGGGGAATGAGCTAGGTAGGGCATGCCGAGCACAGAGATTGGGAAGCTCAAAGGCACAGAGGCAAGAAGTAGCCCGGTGCAGTCAGGGATTAACTAGCAGTTTCGGGTGCTGGAGCGCGGGGTGGGCATGCCCAGGGGAGCTGGGGAGAGGCTGGGTGGTAGACAGAAGCAAGAGCGTACAGGGCTGGGCGTGTGCAAAGGGCACGGACAGAGGGACAAGACCTGGATCCTCACCCTGCTCCTACCAGGCTCCTCGTGTGTCCTCATGCCTGTCATTCAGCCCGGTGTCCTCACCAGTATGACCAGAAAACTGGGAGAGTCGTCCCCAAACCGCGTTCTGGAAACACTGTTCCAGAGGATGTGAAAAGCTATGCCATGAATGTTCTTTCTTTACCTAAATTGTTAGGGCAGTCCTTGAGATTCACGGTGACATCAGCATATTAAAGTCTCCAGTCCTCCAGCCGAGAAGCCTCTTCCATTTTCTTTAACTCACCATTTGTCCAATTATTTGAACTTAGAGCCAATTTTCTATAATATCACTATCAGTATAGTGCCGCTTAGGCCCATTTTGGCAAAAAATGGACACAGCCTCAAAGACCCAATCATCTTCATTTATTTATTCATTCAGTCTTTAAAAGTGCAGAATGGAGGCGCTGGCCACACACCCTCTCTGTATTTTAGATTGCTGCTGTACCCCTGCAGGAACTTCAGTTGTTTATTTTTCAGAGCATCCTCTATCCTGGGATTTTTTTAAAAATCATTTTCTCATTTTTCATGTCATGCCCATGACATGAAAAAGTCGCAAGAAATGAGACTTATTACCTGGTAATAAGTCACAAAAAATGAGAGTTGAGTTGTTTCTGAACAAATACCAGTCACTTAGGATATATTTAATAGAAATAATGAATAAAATCAGGATTTTACTTATTAGAAGTCATTCAGCATTGGCAAATCCCCAAATTAATCATGAATCAGTGAATCACTTGTGATGCCAAAGAGATCGTATAAATAAAAACAGAACTGCCCTTGTTAGAAATTTGATATTTTCAACATTTACCTGTCAGAGCCACTGATTTGGAAATTGTTATAAATTCTCAAAAAATAGGGACTTTTTTCCCTTGTAGAAATACCCATCGTTGGGCAAACTGGCGTCACTTTCCTTGAAGAGAATGTCGTGACTGGTTGTCCAGAGTGCCTCCATGACGGGGTGGACCCACCGTGTAGTTGGAAAGCGGAGTGTAGTCAGGGCGTCAGGAGGCCTCGCCCAGCACAGCCCTGCACCGTGAGCCAGGCATTCTCACCACTTCCTGCACAGCCCCGTTTCCCCCCTCCGCTCCCACTGTCATCAGCACGGTCCTGGTCACCTGAGAGCACGGAAAAATACAGACCAAACCAAAGCCACCCGGGGATTTCAGAAGGCAGAGATGGCTGGGACAGCATTAATTGCTGTCCTTCACATGGGACATTCAGAGGCCAATTGACGTCATGAGTGCTGTTTCTTTTATTAGTAGTATCGCCCTGAAGACCCTGAGAAATTATAAACCGGAGGCAGAGGGGGCGGGTGGGACGTGGGAGGTGGGAGGAAGGAAAGGGAGAATGGCAGTCTTGCTTTTGAGAAGCTGGTCATCTGGTCAGGCAGCCGGGGCGCCCGGGGCAGCCTGGAGCAGTTGCAGTGCTCATTTCCCAGCAGAAGCCCCGGCGCACGCTAGAGCACCCCAGTGATGGGGGCCATTGGATTCGAGGTGCCGTCGCGTTCTCCTCAGTTATTAGAAGAGCAAATTGAGTCGTAAGAAAGGAAGAGGTTTCCCAGGCCTGCCCAGAGTTGATTATCAATCGCACGATCGAAAGTAGAGCCAGGCCCTGCCTCTCAGTGCCCTGAGCCATCTCCCCGCGCCTCTTCCCCGCAGCGCCTTGGATTCTACACCGGCTTTGTTGGGAAGGCGGAGCTGCCCTCTCCTTTATTATTTGCTATCCACCTGAGTTCTGAATCACGATGAGGATTTTAGATTCATCTTAGCAGCGTGGGGACATGTAGCTGAGCAGAATCAATTCCTGTCACTCACACACAAACACAGAGAAACGGGATTATGGATCAGGGCGAAGCTGCAGTGTTTTAATCTCAAAATCAATACAGAAAGGAAGTTGAACTTGTGGGGATTCTATGGATGGTAATTGGTTTGCCTCACTGAATATAACTGGTCCTTCCTTTTCACTTGCTGATTAGTCTGTTTTGGGGCAGGGGCAAGAGGGGGAGGGAAAGGAGATAAGAAACCACTACAACCAAATAATCTTGAATAAACATACACATGTAAACACGTAACTCAAGCTGACCCTCCATTGTGTAGAGGAAAGCTGTATGCTTGCATCCACTTTTTATTTTTAGAAGGAAAAAAGATTAACCAAAACCCTGTACCCCACTGTCTGCATTTAAGCATAAAAAAGTAAATGTCTTTGATTCTTTCATGGGTCACTGTCAAAGTGGAAAAAATGTTTCTCAATGTTTACTTTATGGCCAAGTCTACCCTAGCTTAGGCAATTCTATCTGAACAAAGGTGGATTCAGCAAACCATTTATTGACCAAAGGATTCCAAGCTGCTAAGCATGTGGTTAGTATTTGCCCCAGTATAATTCTGCCCCTTTTGAAAGAGGCATGCACTAGTGGTTTAAACAACTCAGTCTTTCCTTAAAGTTTGAGAATTTACCAAATATGCCTCTTTTCAGACAACACTGATTTCCTGCAGAGTTCTCCCCGTCTCTGGCTGTGAGATGGCTTGTTTTGTCCTTTGGAGATTTCTCTTAATTCAGTTCTAAAACCTGTCTGAGTCTGTTTGGACACTCCTACAGTGGGAACAAAAACAGGAAATACTACGACCTCATGATGAAATGATGGGGCTACAGGCAGAACTCGGGTCCAGCTGGGAGGCAGAGTGATGTAGTTAAAAGAGCAAAGCCTATGGCCTCTGCTTTGGGTGCTACCAAGCTTTTTCTAAACATGTTGGTTCCTCTTTAAACTAGGGATGGTTACAGGATTCGGCAGGGAGGCAGGCGTGCTGAGAGGAGTAGGTGAGGTAAAGCACATACGGCCTAGCACAGTACCTTGTACTTGTAAGAGCCCAATAAATGTTCATGATGGTCATGATTATTATGTGAGCCTCAGTGAGACACCATGTGCTGTATATGTAAAAGCTTTCTAGGAGCTTTAGGGCACGATACAAAAACGTTAGCGGTTATTCTTAATAGGTGGATGGATTAAAACTATTAAAACAAATCCTGGAAGCCTTTTCCTTTGTGCTGCCTCTCATAGGTCCCTCATGTCAGAGCAGGGCCCTGGAGGTGGCAAATCAGGCCCGACTGAATATGTGTTCGCTCTCTGAATGTCTTGTGATACGCCACGAAATCATTGGAGATCCCTGTCCTGTGCCCTTCCCCGGAACACGTTCCCAGACCTTTGGAAGACCAGCCCCGTGCAGGCTACTTATATTGTTGTCATTTCTAGTCAATAGTTTTAGATGTCACATCCTCCCTGGAAAGCTCGAGCTTCTTAAGTGATTGCGTTATTTCAGTCGTCCTTCCTTGTCCTACATGTCGCTTGAGTTAAAAACAACTCCTGAGTCTGTGCCCTCTCTGCTCCTTCCCAGAGCACGATCATTGTGGAGAAGACCGTGCAGGACCTCCTGAGTCTGATGCACGACCTGAGCGCCTACTCGGACCAGTTCCTCAGCATGGTGTGCGTGAAGCTCCAGGAGTATAAGGACACCTGCGCCGCGGCCTACAGGTACTGCTGCGCGGGGGCCTAAGCAGAGTCGGCGGGAGGCGGACGTTGGTCGGCGTGGCGATTTCTGCCTTCAGAGCCTGGCTTTCCACCGTTAGAGAAAAGGACCACCTTTGAGTTTGTCAGGGGCCCTGATGAGAACACGGGCCACAGAAATAGTCACCTAGATGCGTCTGTTCTCACCCCCAGAGGGAATGCAAGGGACAGAGGCACGAGCACTTGGGACTGCCATCGGGTGGCTCACGTGCGGCGTCAGCCTTGGTTTTCGTGAGAGCTGAGAGCCATGCAATTCTCTTCTTGAGGGCGTTCCAGAGCTCGGCTAGTCCACCATGTGGTTCTAAGTGATCTTAAAGTAAAGCCGTTTCAAACTCATGGTAACTCTTACTACTCTATAATGTGATTTCTTTTCACTTCTTACAAATGTACTCCTCTCGATGTTTGATCTGTAGCCTTCCTACTGTCAAGAAAAGACAGCTACACTGTTTTTACCATCAGCAGACGTGAAAAACCATTGTCACGAACTTGAAAACCTTTTGTTTTCCCCTCTAATTTCTTTTCTCTGGGTTCAAAAATCTCTTTGAGCTTGTGGAAAAGATCATAGCACTGCTCATGAAAAGCTAATAATAGGAATAAATTATGATCTGGTTGACAAGACCTAAAACAATTAGGGGAGAAAAGAATGTATAATAAAATACCGAATTGTGTGTGATATATAATTAAGCCCGGGCAGGTGAAGTACAGCACATGGTCAGGCAGCACAGGGGGTGGGAGGGAAGGAATAAAACAGAAAGGGCGACTGGAGTCTGGAAAGGCTCCACAGGCGATGAGGCGTGCGCTGGACCTTAGGAATCGAACGAGACGTGGGAAGTTGCCGGAATGAATAAGGGCTCTGCGGGGAGGAAGCGCCCAGGCGGCTGCCTTGCCGGGACGGCGCAGGCGTCCTGGTAGAAGGTGAGAGGTGCTGTTTAATAGGAGAAGACGGGCCAGGTGACAAAGGGCCTTAAAAGATAAGACTTGAACATTTGGGTGCTGGGTGGTAGATGATAAGGAATCAGTACAGATGAGCCTGGAAGCAGCGGTCGGAGAGATGGATCTGGCCGAGGAGCACAACCCGGGGGACTGCCTAGCCTCCTTCAGTCCCGTGGCAGGTGACCTTTGTGCGCAGGTCCATCGGCCAGTTAAAGGAAAGAAGCCAGCCGCCTCCCTCAGAGATGCTCCCAGCAACATTTTCCTTTATTTGTTTACTAGTGATTCACAAAAATTATACCATATTTACGTTTATATTATACATGTAGTCAGTAATTATGTTATAATCAATTGTGTACTAAGTAACAATTATAATGGCATTTGAAACAAAAAATGTTAAAATTTAGTCTTATGGTAACAGAAAATTTTAATTTTATTTTAGACTTTAATTTGTACAATTTTTTTTGCAGAACACTACAATAGAGTAATCAATAAGATACTTTCAAGCATAAATATATATTTCTAATGGATAAAATTCAGTGAGGAGCTAAAATAGAAATAATAAGTCAAAGAGAAAAATGAAAAATACCAACTGTCAAAAGGAGCTTATTCATATATATTTTAAACGTGTAATGGTGGATATCAAATTCCTATGGTGTTGAGATTCCCTTGGGTACACTTAAAATAGTGATTTTAAAGTGTCACTATTTATAATATGCCACAATTTGCTACCATTTAAGCTCATACTGAAAAATATTAAATATCAATTTTTAAATGTGGGGAGCAGAGTATCATTTTTCAAAATTCCTTTAAGTGATACACAAATAAAAATTTAAAAGCCATGGCTCATGTTTAGTTCTCTACGATTGGAATTTCAGGGCCACAGAGTTATAGTTTCAGCTTTATAAAACCCACCTCCAAAGTGATTGTACCAATGTCATATCAACCAAATGAGACCCAAATAACATGTTTTAAATATTAGAACTAAATATTAAAAAAAATAAAAATATTTTAAAATCAGTTTCATTTTAATAACATACTTTTAAATTTACTGTTAAGTTTATGTTTAAGCTCCATTGAATTTTAAGGTTTTTTTAAAAAGCAAGTCATATCCTCTTTTGCTTATATTTCATTATGACCAACCAATAATTCTAACAAATAAGAATGTTGACGAAGCCTTGGCTGGTTTGGCTCAGTGGTTAGAGCCTCGGCCTATGGAGTGTCGGAATCGGTCCAGGGTTCGATTCCAGCCAAGGGCACACACCTCGGTTGCAGGCACGTGCGGGAGGTAACCAATCAATGAGTCTTTCTCACATCGATGTCTCTCCCTCTCCCTCCCCCTCTCTCCCCCTCTCCCTCTCTCTTTCCCTCTCTCTCTCCCCCTCTCCCTCTCTCTCCCTCTCTCTCCCCCTCTCCCTCTCTCTCTCTCTCTCTCTCTCTCCCCCTCCCTCTCTCTCCCTCTCTCTCCC